GTGGGTAGGAAAAGGACAGGGAAGCACGGCAGGGAATGTGAGCAGTCGCTCCACTGGGAAAGTTTGTTTCTGCTCTGTTTCTCACAGGCAACTTGTCTCCGCTTAGTGACAAATTCTGCTTTATTTTTAAACACAAGATTCAACTGGGAAACATTGCAGTGAAGAGAAATAGCAGTCATGAGCACTAGTTATGCGTTATTCATTACCTCCCGCCCTCCCTGCAAGGAGGTTTTAGTCCAAGAGGCTGATGGCTCCCTGGAATTCTTTGGAAGTGATAACTTAGAGAAGGATGTCATTTTGGCAAATAACAAATAAATCCATACCGATCTTAAAACCAGAATCCTCTCTTCAGCCAGCAGTCTGAAGAGCTTTTGTATTTGATAGCATCCTTTTTTACACTGCAGCAGTTACCCAGCCTGCTTCAGCCACTTTGCTGGGTTTCTGTGATCATTGCTTTGACTTGGTTTTGGTTTGAGTTTGTGCAGTCAGCTGCCAGTGCCTGGCGCTTCTGTGGGTGTGTGGTGTTTTGAGACTGGGGGGATACTGCAAACCTGCACTGCTTTATTCTCCCTTCCATCTCCATTTCATATTACAAAACTGGCCAAGTCAAGAGGTAGTGCAAGAAAAAGCAGAACATCTGAAACTCATCCAAAATGAGACAAGTTTTGCTCAGTGACTTTGTAATACGTTGCCTTCCTTATGCAGAATGTACTATAGTAATACACATCAGTTTATGGGTGCTTGGTGGAAGAGAGGCTTTATTGTCTGTACCTTAAGGTTTGTTTGAATATGGAAAAAAGGGAGATTCAAAACTCCCAGAGGAAAACTATGCTTAAGCTGGGGTTCCAGCAGAGCTGTCCTTTATAACTCGCTGTTCTTTGTGCCAAAATCAGTGAGTAACAGAGCAGAAGCTTGAACCCTACAAAATGTCATTGTTTGAGTAAAACAAGTAGACAGGGATGCCAGCGCAGCACCGTTTTCTGTGCGTGTTCAAAAGCAATGGTGTAACCCTCTGCTGTGTATTGCAGTTAGCAGGGGTGGAAGTTGTTGGATATGTGACTCAGTTTTGTGGCCTGAGAACAGAAAGCTTGTGGAGTACAGCCCATTTACTGGCCTTGGAATGAGTGAAATGTGCTGAACTAGATATTTACATGCTGCAGGAATTAGTTTTGTAGACATACATTGTTTTAAAACAGCTTATCTGCTATTGCTGCTTACAGCTGTCTGTCTGCCTGCATGTGAAGAGCATTGACTGCTGCTTTACCATGCGCATTTGTTTCCAACAAGAAAAATACTTCCTGAAACTGGAAATTACAAACTTTAGAACTGGTGTAAGATGGAGGGGAACCAATCTCACATCAACATCCTTAATCCCTGTGTTACAACTACCTACCTACACACTTGTGAGGCGGGCTGATGCCAAGCTCATGAAGTTTAACCAAGCCAAGTGCAAGGTCCTACAGCTGGGTTGAAGCAATCCCAGGCACAGCTACAGGTTGGGCAGAGAAGAGATTCAGAGCAGCCCTGCAGAGAAGGACTTGGGGCTGTTGGTCGATGAGAAAACGAACATGAGCCAGCTTCAGTGTGTGCTCACAGCCCAGAAAGCAACCGTATCCTGGGCTGCATCAAAAGGAGCGTGACCAGCAGGTCGAAGGAGGTGATCCTGCCCCTCTGCTCTGCTCTTGTGAGACCTCACTTGGAGTATTGTGTGCAGTTTGGTGTCCTCAACATAAAAAGGACATGGAACTGTTGGAACAAGTCCAGAGGAGGCCACGAGGATGATCAGGGGACTGGAGCACCTCCCGTATGAAGACAGGCTGAGAAAGTTGGGGCTGTTCAGCCTGGAGAAGAGAAGGCTGAGTGCAGACCTCATAGCAGCCTTCCAGTATCTGAAGGGGGGCTATAGGGATGCTGGGGAGGGACTCTTAATTTAGGGACTGTAGTGACAGGACAAGGGGTAATGGGTTAAAACTTAAACAGGGGAAGTTTAGATTGGATATAAGGAAGAAATTCTTTCCTATTAGGGTGGTGAGGCACTGGAATGGGCTGCCCAGGGAGGTTGTGAATGCTCCATCCCTGGCAGTGTTCAAGACCAGGTTGGATGAGGCCTTGGGTGACAAGGTTTGGTGTGAGGTGTCCCTGGCCATGGCAGGAGGGTTGGAACTTGATCTTAAGGTCCTTTCCAAGCCTAACTATTCTGTGATTCTATTTCAGCCAGCAGTGTACCTCAGAGTGAAGAACCGAGCCCAAGGCAAATACCTGACAGTGGCTGGGAGCCTGGCTGATGTAAGAGCAACATCGGTGTGTGCATCCCCATACAATGGCAAGAACACCCAGATCTGGCACTACTGTCGTGGACTCTTCAAATCCAAGGTGAGTCTCCAGATGCTGAAGTGGGCGGCTTGTATCACTGGTGGTACTTTTCACCTTCGCTTCTTGCTTTTGCCCTAGGCTAGCATTAACACGTAACAGGATAGCTTTTGGCCTCTCCCACGTGTCTTAGACCAAAACTCTTATAACCTACATCCTCCTGCTATGCAGAGGCAGAAGTGATCTGTCTGCTTTGGCAAATTGGGCTGCTTTTCACATCTAAGGGCACTGGTGTTCCTGGAAGCAGAAACCTGTTTTTTGTCTAAAGTTGCAAGTTTATTACCTCTGAAGAGTTAAGAGAGTACTATGTGTAGAAAGTAATGATTTTGTATTGATGCTGCTCTTTCTAGTCTGTTATTAATATAAAAAGCTGATGATTTAACATAAGCAAGACCTGAGTTAACAAAGCCCACCCCCTTTGACCAAGCTGCTGGTCAGATGCTGAATGATCGGTTCCTAGCTTGCTTGCCAGGCTTGGTACCAGCTGCAAGAGGATCACTGCAGTGTGCTCAGTGCCTCAAACAGAAACAAGTCAGACATAAACACAAGGCTTTGGTCCTGGGTTTCATTTCTCTTCTCGTGTCTTAGGCTAACAACGCCTGCCTGGATGTCATTGGGGGCAGAGACGTACCCGGGGCCAAAGTGGCGCTCTGGGCGGAACACGGGAAGGACCGGCAAAGGTGGAGACTCAATGAGGATGGAACCATCAGTTCATACCTCAGCGAGCAACTGGTGCTTGACATTAAAGGTATTCAAAGAACAAATATATAACTAAACTTCCAAGAGCATTTTGTGATTGTTGTTAATTGCTGTATTTCAGCTCTTTTTGCACTTAAGGTTAAATACTTAATCCTGTTGTTCCTGTTAGGTTTATGTCCAGTTGTATGACAATTGGACAAGAAACAACAGGGCAGGGGGGAACTTTACTCTTTAGATCCCAGAGGTTTATTTTGATCACATTGACTGTTCTGCTTGAGGGAGATCAGTAGCGCGCATGGGAAGAAATGCAGGTGACAGAAGACAAAATGGTGAAGGAAAAGCAACCACAGGAGTTTAACCACCATCACTAATTCATAAATAGCTCCTACAGAGTCATTAAATGCAATCAGGTGATAGTGGTGGCAGCTCTTCCAGTATCTGCGAGCTGTGCTGCCTCGGTTACAGCACAACACAGTGTTGAATGCTGGGGTTGCGTGATCCTGCTTAATAGCTCTTCAGAACTTGTTTCTTTTAGTCAATTGCTATGTATGGTATAATGATAAAAAAAATCAGTGTCATTTCTATGCTACGTGAATTCAAAGGGGAGAAATCTTATTTTAAGGACCTCTAAGTTTGTGGTTGAAACGGGTGTGCTACACCAAATCACTACGCGTCTACTTGTGAATCTGTGTATTCCTTGTAGAGCAGTATGTGCCTTGAAAATCCACATAGCAGGGGCTCGGTATCTGCTGAAAGCAAAATGTCTGTAGGGGTGCTAATTTCTGTGCACCAAGGTACATTTGTGGTATGTTCTGCTTCCTGGCCAATGGAGCCTCTCAGGGCTGAAGCTGACAAGTGACTGTTTGAAGGAGACAAACATAACGGAGGCAGAGGGGCAGAAACAACTCCCTGTCTCATAGAATTTCCGGTTTCCATCTGATTTTCCTACTTAGTCACACTTCTTAAAGATCATACGTGGGCTTCTCTGAGCATTTTTTACAATTTTGCCTTCATGATTTTGTTCTGTTTTTTAGGAGGAAATTATTATGACAAGAATCACATCATTATGAATCAGCTGACAGACAACAAACAGTCACAAAAATGGGATATTGAAATATTGTGAAACCCACCACACAGATGGACCTTGTGTGTGTTACGAACACCTAGTGTGGAAAAACACCCAACCAACTACTGAAGTCACACACCACTGGAACATTAAGCAGCAACTCCTCTCTGCTTTCCTTCCTACCAAGCACCAGCTCCTAAAAACAACTGAATTTTGCACAAATACGGAAGATGGGAGGTTGGTATCATGTCTTTCTGCAGGGAAGCTGTGCTTTAGAGGCCGCTCCTGTGAAGGTCACGGTTATTTTTCATCTGGAGTATTAGAAGTAAATGAAAAGAGTCTACATGCAAGTTTTGCAGGATGTGAACTGCAAGGGATAATATGGGAAAGCCTCTTTAGAAATGTTGTCTTTACCTTCCCCTCAAACTGACGGAAGCTCACTGAAGAATGAACGCAGCATGGAAGAGGTTGTGTTGGACTTCCATGTCCCAGTTGAAACTGTTTAGGTTTCAAGTGACCCTGAAGCTCAAACCATATCTCTTGCTAAATGCAGTTTACTTTGTTCATAAAGACAATGCTGGACTGGAATTACCAGCTCAGTAGAGAAAGCCTGACTTCCCCCTGCCCCGATGTTACTGGTAGGTCTTTGTTCTCATTTGTTTTAGCAGTACCAAATTTCCAGGTTCAGGAACTGGTTTTGCTGACCCATGGCCTGTTTCCAACCAGTGAAACTGTGAGTTATCACTGAAGATCACCTTCAACATGGAGCCATATCTACACGTATCAGAAGAAACGGTCCTGGGTCAGGCTAGACTTCTACAAGGGCTAGCTGCATTTAGAGCAGTAATGATTTTAAAGCCTAGCCAAAATTTGTTTTGCTGTATATAGATTAATTTAATGTAATTTGGTCTTGAAACCACATCTTCCTTCAGAAGATAATTCCTAATGGGTATTTTCAAAGGTGCTAGCAGGCTATTTCCAAACTTGTCTAATGTAAAAAGAACAGCGTAACTACATGTTCACATTACTGTGGCTCATCAACACCTCAGGCATCTTAGCCCAGAGGATAAGGACGTGCTGGCCCTTCCCTCAATTTCAGCACTGTGCAGCCACCTTATGAGCTATCACTTGAGACAGACAGCACCAAATACCTGACTGGAGTGCAGCTGTTGCAGGCTTGAAAAGCAAACAGGGGCAGAACTGTAGGCAGCTGTTGAAAACCTGATGTGAAGTCCCCTTGGATTACTGGTAATTTCATTTGGTTTCAGTATCACTAAATTAATCTATTTCATAAAAAAGGTATTTTTTTCCTTCTTTGTATATTCAGGTTATGTATTTCTGTAACTATTTAAAGAGTTCAGGTTAGCTACAGATGGATATTTTCGTTTCCAAAAGCTGTAACTTTTCCAGTTGTTCATGCAGACACATCCCCAAAAGAAATACAACCACATAACCCTAAGTTTGCCACAGAAATAAAATAAATGGATGTCTATTTTTGTATGGAGTTCTATATAGTATTATTTAAAAATAAATCTACTTGCACTTACTATTTTACATTCTAAAATTATCCTAGCTGTTTAAGTAACAGATTTTCCACTGTCTGTATATATTCTACAGCACGTGTTTAGCCTGTTCTATGTAAGTCAGTCAGTGTGTCAAGTGTTCTGCATGGGACTTGCTCTCCCTCTGAAATTTTAAAAGCCTGTGTAAAACGTTCTAGTCTTTTAGACCGAGGATGACTAAATCCTCTTTGTGTCAGTGTTAAAGAGCAAAGTAAAAGCAGGCTTTTGTACTGAAGAGATCTCGAATGTAAAATGCCAAGCATGTATATTTTAATTGTATAAAACTTTTTTAGGAGGAACATTTTGCTTGTTGGTTTCTTTTTAAACAAACTAAATACAACTCTCGTTTTCAGCAGGTGGCAAAGCATGTTCCTGTCAAATCCTTCCTTTCAAATGGACAGAAAAGGGATGAGGATACTGAATACGTGACTGTGACATTACACTGGGGGGTTGGAAATAGATGATCTTAAGGTCCTTTCTAACCCTTACTATTCTATGATATTAAATATTGAGGTTCAGTATCTGCAGTACCTGCACTGCTCCCATCAAACACCACTCAATGAGCATTGAAGATACATATTCCAGTTACAGGTTTGGGTTACTTTCATGTTAAATGGAGGCAGACATTAAATAGCTTGATTATTCGAGTGGTTTCCTGTGGTTATAGGTTGATTACTAACTATACAACCATACAGTCTGATTACAAACTACAACCAGTGGTTACAGTAGTTTGATTATTCCAGTGGTTTCCTCTCATCTGAGGATGAGAGGAAAGGGGTTTTCTTGAGCAAAGTCCTCACCCCTTTGGGAAACAACGGCCACAGCTTTTCCTGAGCAGCTTTTGTTCTTTGGGGGCAAACAAACAGAACAAATGGGTTTTCTTGCTGGTGAACTTTACACATTAAAAACCAAAAGTTCCTGTTCTTAGCCCAAGCTCCTGGAGCGTGCTCCATCTGTACTTTTAGATGTCCTCCACAGGAAGGCATACAGACAGAGGAAAGGGGACACCACAGCACTATGGTGTTAACTGTGAGTAGATTCATCCAGTCACAGACCCAGAGTTGCAGTCACTGGACACTAAGCAGCTTACCTGTTTTTTCCCAGTGCCTGTTTTCCCAAAGCTAAGGGAAGTATTTGGCATCAATATATATGTATATATTGCAATGCCTTGTCAGACAGCACTACAAACCTGGATGTATAAAAAGGCATTTAATAACAAGAATCAAGAGAGATTCTTGATGGCTAGAAATACTGCTTGTAGTAGCAGCTTTTCACAAAAGCATCAAATAACTTCAATTAGACATTCAGTCCATAGTGACAAGGCAAGGTTTTCCTTCTCTTCATCTGAGGCAAGGTTAAGCTCTTTAACACTAACAGTGCTGCTACACCAAATCTGCTTCAGTGCATCCAAGTACGACAAAGGAAACCGCAGTCCATGAGTCTGCTGGGGGGGGGGGGGAAAGAAAGAAGAAAGATCTTTTAGCAAAACACAGTGTCCCTTATTACACAGAGTGTGTTATGGTCCAGTTACTGACTAGCAGGTACATGCTCCCTTCCCACATCACATTGGTATTTTTAAGTGCATCTTCCAACTGATGTAGTATTATCCTATCACCTCTCAACAGAAAAATCCCTCACATCTCTTGCATGTTCTAGCACACTTCACCCAGGAGCCTGACTCCTACGCCGAAGAATGACATACCATGTTTAAATTTATACTCTTGCCTATTATCTTTGGATAGAAAGAAGCTTCTATATGCCACACACAGCCTTTGGACACAGTACGCCAGCACCACAGAGGACCTCCATTAATACGGCTGGAGTCTTTAAGCCAGGAAGGTATAGTCTAGGATTTGCACACATTGTACAGGAGCCAGCATACAACATCATCTACCCCTATTCTCTGCACTGGGGGACAAGTGAGATTTACCTTACAAGGAAAGTAACTGTCAGCCAAAAAGCCTTGCTGTGATTACTGGGACAAGAACAGGCCGTGTTCCATTTTGCCTTTACAGTGTGTTTGTGCAGACCTGTAGTCAAGTGGTTCAGGGCACAGACCTAAGATACATCTTCTTAGTATCATGAAGTGGAACAAAATGTTCCAAAGCCCACAGCCACTCTTCAGGAGTGCTTATGTTTCCAGCAAAAGCACATTCTTACTCAGCAGGTACAATGCAGATGAACCACCTGCAGTCTTTATTAACAATATTAAAGTTCCTTCCTTACCTTTCAGTAAAAGGAACACTCTCATCTTGCAGGATGGTTCAGTTGACACAGAACCTAACAGGTTCAATGTGGCATAAATATATGCATGAGGCACAGTGTTCCCTGCTATGAGTGACCAGGCACTAGTGTATTTAGTAGCTGTAATAAAGGATGTACTGAAGGATACAGCAGAAAGAGACACTTTTGGCCACTGCAGTGGCTTTGTTAGCTAGGAATGAGGCATGTGCAAGAAATTCTGTTAATATATCTAACACTTAAAGCATGAGATTACAGTCCTTAGTTTTACTGAACTGCCTCTGTGTTGCAATGCAGCATCCTGCTAGTTTAGTCAAGTTCATCTAACACAGCAAACCTTCTTTAGGTGGGTGTGTGTGGGCACAAACCTGGGGTGTGCCTTCCTCACTGGCTGTATCCTCTTCAGTCCCCATCATGTGAGTTTCTCTTTTGTTCTTTAAAGAATGATACACGTAAACCATCTCTCTGCAAACTTCATCCTAAAAGACAAGAAGAGAACGCTTAGTTACATATGACCCACAGCCTCAAATTTAGCTCACTGAAGTGACAACATCAGCCCCTTAATTCAGGAGTCCACTGCTGCATCACTGAAAGCAATTACCATTCCCAGCTGAATGATCCAACAGCCATAAGGGAATCTCCACACCCTCTTTGAACATTTATGTACAACATATAACCTTTTGCTTTAACACTGCCTCCGCCAGCTCGCAGGACTGATGCTCTATAGAAAGCACAGCATTTAAGTGCATCTCCCAGAAAGTCTTAATGAACAAGTGGGCATCAGTAAATTTCCATTCTGATCCTGATCTGTCCCTTGAAGAGTCATATGCCTGTTATCACTTCTTGGTCAAAGCTGTGCAAACCAATTCAGACCGCTGTGGGCAGGTCTCACGCCAAATCTGTGTCCAAAAGGCTTGCATGTGGGCTGTTACTCAGGGTTTATCTGACTGACATCAAAAGGCAAGGTGGCAAAAGAGAAGAAATATCCAAACCCTACATAGTCTCACAGCAATAAGGACGCAAACAAAACAGATGAGAGAAGTCAGAAAGTCACAGTATGTTTGCCTGGAAGGAAAACATTCTAGGTGTACAAAAACAGCCAATAAAAGCACAAGATAAGTCTGTCCCATCTGCCCTCACCCTCCCCTTTTCTGATTAAGACAACAAAAAGCACTTCTACAATTCCATGCTAATAAACCTCCGTAACTAAGAATTAGTCTGAACACAACATACTACAAGATGCCAGCACCTATTTTGTAGAACAGCTTTGTAGTGCCACTGGTCCCTGTTTAGGGACAAAGCTAACTGGGAAGCGAAGACTAAATGCAACCACAGTCAGGAGCAGCTGCAATCAAGAAAATTCCCTCTCTTGAAGGAACCTATTTTCATAATTTATTCATGCTCTCAAATACCAAGAATAAAAACCAAAAATCCATTATCAAAAGCTACAGCTGCTAAATGGCCTCTATCTGTAATGATAACCTGCAGGTCTCCAGGAAGGCCTGTTGTCTCTGCTCGACAGCAAGCCCACTGTCTCCTACCAAACCCTAATGGAATGCAGAATCTAAGCATTAACTGCACAACCCTTTTAGGCCAGTACAGAGCAACAGTTCACATACCTTGTGCTCCCCACTGCACACCCCCAAGCCCAGGCATAGAAGGCTGGGCTTCACTGTACTTACAGCGTTCTCTTGGTCTGGTTCCACTGTAACGATTGCGTGATCTCTGAACTGCAGTCGGATTTTGCTATCAATTTTGGGGTATTTCCCACCTATGTAAAAGAAATTCTTCATTAGCAAGGAAGGAAACCAGATAGCACAAACCGAGACCTCTGTGCGCTGCCCACTCTCTTGTGGTGGGATTGCTTTGCTAACCTATGTTTAAACACCCACGTTGTCAAACCCAGACAGCAAGAAGTGAGAGAGGGACTTTTTAATTCTCTCATCTTTATAGTATACAGATCTCTGTAACAGCAAGCTAGAACATAAGGTCAAACTCTACCAGTTAAACAGGCTCAGTACGCAGCAGTTTATTAAAGCTGCCAGTCTAGTACAACCCTTATTTCACAGAGAGATGTGTCGTCTCTTCCGTTAGGTACAGGGAATCAACCAGCTGGAATGTGCATATGCACACGTAGAGCCTAGCACAACATGAGGCTGATGCTAGACCATGATCTCTGCCTACCATAAAATATCACAGTTCTAAGAGGCAGCGTTAGCAACAGCTGTACCGTCTCATCAGCCAGTTTGGTAACTTCAAATCTACCTGGAGTCAAAGTATCAGAGTTGCATCCCAAGCAAGGTGGCAGCCGGTTCATAATGAAATCCTTCTTCATGTCAGATGACCTCAGTTCTCTGGTGTTTTCCAGATGGTCTGCAAGCCGCCTCAAAAGGCTGCTCACCTTTTTTGTTGAGTCAGCTACATCCACCTGCTAAACATGCACATAGTTACTCACATGAACTTAAACTAAACAGACTAGCCTAAAGAGGTGCAGTAACACAGTGAAAACCTGGACATTCCTCTCTCAGCTTTGCAGAAGCTAACACTCCCAACATAACCGTTTCTTCTACCCGTTCCCCATGAGCTGTTCACACACCAAAGCTGATCATTTTCTCCCACTCCACAGCTAGCTGCTGTGCTAAAAGACTTGCTAGTGTAGCTGAAAAAGGGACCTGTTCCTTCTACGTGCTGACCAGCAGCACAACCAGACTACCACAATGAAATCACAGGACAATTTACAGCTTTACTGACTTTAAAAGATTCAAAAGCTTGTCTGACAGCTCCAAAGCAAACAGCATTACTTTTAGAAGGAAACAAGCTATACAAGGACACTACGATACAAACGAAAGGCAGTGCAAAGAAGCAGACAATGCTTCAGATGGAGCAAACCTCTGAACAGTCAAAAGACTTCAAAAGAAGTGATTGTGCTACTGGACAATATAGTGCCTTTGCATTGAGCTTTCAAACAAGATACACGCTTGACTCAGTGCTGAAGTTCCGGCTGGATGCACTGTTACTCCCTTTAGTCCCACCTATTTACCATAAGCAGTTTCCTTGGTATGCTTGTCCGCAGTGCCACATCTTCTTTTGCTGTATCAAACACAAGGCCAGGAATTGCATCCAGTAAGAAATCTCCCCAAGAGCTGAAGGACAGGAATTAAAATAGTAATAATAATTACTAAAATAGTTGCACTGAAATAAACAGACAAATGATGTCAAGAGCTGGAAACACACTGCTCCGATTCCAAATCGGCTTCATGCCTTTAGCCCTTCCGTTACCACTCGGTAGTCCCATGCAGTAGCTCACTCTCAACTGTATGTGCATCCTCACTAGTTCCAGGTCAGTGGCACAGAGGGAAGGGACTGGCTTGAGAAGGGTCCAGTTTGTTTTCATTCAGGCACTTGCCATTTACCAGTGGATTCAGCTTAAAGCCAACCTCAGTGAATTAAGAAATTACTACCAGGGCCACTATTATCCAATTGCACGCACACACAGCCTCACTGCACACAATGCGGGGGGGGGTGTGTGTCATTTAACATGCTTTCAACACACTTCTATTGGATGAAGTAATGCACTCAGGGTTATCAAATCCTTAAACCAGCTTTTATCTTTACTACAGACTTAATTGTGACCCCAGGAACAAGACCCCTAACAGATCTCTACAGCTGTATCAATGATACATAACAGGCACCCTGTAGGTGCCTGTGTTAAACCCCCACTGTTAGCCTACATACTCTAAACAGCACCAATAAAAACAGGCCTTTGGTATCTTGTTTGTTCTTGCAATTGGGGAACAGAAGCACAAGAGGAGGGGAGGGAGAACTACCGCCTGCACTCTCTGCCCAGCTTGAGTCAAGCTCATCAGGAATAGATGTGCCGCTCAAGCAAAAGTGCTCTCCTGTCCACATGTGGCCTCTCTCCCCACCACATCCTCAGTGGCTGGTTTAACAGGCAAACAACTCGGGCAAATGCCCAGTATCCACTGCTGTCAGCAGACTCCACAAAACCAGGGCAAGGAGCAGAGCAGGGCCTGTCCTCCAACACACACTTGACCCTCTGCTCTTGCCCTCAGCACTCTCCATTTCCAGCACTGATCTCCAGTTGAGTTTGCAGGTGTAAGATTACCTTCCACATTAAAGTCTACCTCTGGTAAATAATAAAATAACAAATAAAAAAGCAATCAAGCTTGTGGCACAAAAACCTGGTAAACAGGTGGCTTAAAACAAACCCCTCCTTCTCCCAAACATCAAACCTTCAATTACTGCTACCTGAACACTAGCTTAGATTCTGTAACTAACACCAGGGTACATACGTAATAGTGGGGTACCAACATATATTCATATCATTACATCTCTGGGGCAAAGGTCCTATCCCTGTGTTAATCACAGAAAAACAAATCACACAAGGGCTAAATAGAATGAACACAGAGAAGAGCTAAGCAGAGCTCATTATAAGGGGGTTTTCATTTTAAGAAACTGGACATTGCTTCTTTGAAACACTGATTTCAGGTCTGTACTATTCACACACGTTATCTGGCAGAAAACCATTTCAGAAAAGCCACACTAAAAAAAAGGCTAAAGAACACTTACTTGTTTTGGTAGGTACTGATGGTCACGTGTGTAGAATAGGGGATCCCAGGAGGAGTGTCAGCTTGGTGAATAGTCCCTCTTGGGAAGTACAGCAAGTCACCTGGCTGCAAGAAAATGAAGAATTGATTCAGGGCACCTGGTCAAACCTAAATGTAGTCAAAATAGAGAAAATACTCCCTGAGCAGACAGACTGACAACATCTGTTCTTTAAAAATCACAAAATAAGAGATCTGCCATTGTACACTTTAATAACATAGAAACTAAGAACATAGAAACACTCTTAAACCAGAAGTCCAATACCTTAAACTTTCCAACTTACTGTCAATATTTACTATACACCAGTCTGAAAATAGGAAGCAAGCTTTTACCATGATAGAACATGCATACCCCAGCTCAGCTGCATAAAGGAGACAAGCAGCTGAGATGAACCTGCTGACAATACAACGGGTTAGCAGAGGAGCAATACAAAGTGAATTTGGTAAGATCACGTTAAAAGGAAAGGCCAATATCCCACAAGAAAAGCCAAATATTCTACTAAGATGTTAATCTGTTATAATACTATTGTTTGAAACTTTCAGTTAAAACACTTAAACAAGGACAACCTACCTCCTACTTATCTTTCTTCTCACCTACCTAAATTAAATCTCCACACTGATAAAAATTTAGATCCAGGGAAGTCAAGATAAGGGAGAAGCACAAAGTACACAAAATTGCCTCCAAGAAGGAAAAAACAGTTTACTTATAGCTTCTCCTATAAACATTTATATAGTTTGATAGCACAGTCAAAATCCATAAAGCAACAGTGGTGAAATCTGATTCCATTTTATTTTACCATTCCTTAAATTCAGTCACATCACCTACTTAGAGCCCAGAGAACTGTAACACATATACATTTCAAGTGAACGCTACCTGAGTTTTCACTGAAAGGTCTCTTTAGATTATAATGTTTCACAGGACTTGGCAAGATCAAGTCTCCTCATCCCTTTCTCACAAGCTGTAAAGCATCACAGATCAGCTTTGTATGATCTACTTGCTCTGAAGCAAGCCTGTCTCTGTCATTAATAAACTGCCTTCCTTACCAGTGCAGGGACTACACTAACCAACTAAGAGTATTTTTAATTCTCTTCATTTGCTATGTTGCACATCCTCAGCAAGAAAATAAACTGGAGGAAGGGTCACACAGGGGAACAGCAAGAGCCCTGAACATCTACCAGAGTGGTGACAAACTAGTCTGCAAAAGGTGGTATTTCATGCTGCAGCACCCTATGCCTACCACTAAGAAGCGGGGATCATGATTCTTCCAAGCAGTCTTCACTGCAAAGTCCAGCTCTTATCAATCTTATCTGCTGGACAATTTCATCACCACCATTCACATGAGGCAGCAATCACAACACTCCACTATTAAAATAACCAGGATCTTCAGATTCCAGGTGGCAACACCCAAGCTGGGAGAGGACAGAGCATGTGACAAGAGACAATGCAGATCTGGTCACTTTGCTGCCTTCTTACTTCTTAACTGGAGGAAGGAGAGGAGAACAAGGGAGAAGGTACCAGGAAATCAAAATGGAAAACCATATAGACAAAAGGATAGATCACCTCCTGTCAAATAAGCTGTGCTTGACATCAGTAACAAACCAGCCACTGCCACAGCCTGCAGGGACCTTATACACAAACCAGCATGCTTTGCTGTCACTCCTCTACCAGGTTTTAGTGGGATGGAAGAACACCACCAGTACAGTCTCTAACTGGTCCATTTGTTCTAAACTGCCCAAGGAAGGCAGACTGCAGGCAGGAATACAAAAAGGAGAAAGGAAATATTCTAGCAAGATGTTTGGGCAGGGAATCTGAGAACATCCCTGTCAGAGACAGCTCCAGACAAACAATGAAAATCTGACAGAAAAAAAATGGGTCATGGGAACTGCAGAACATCAAACAGAAGAAAAATAACCCTAAAAAAAAGTTACATCATTTATAAGCCCTTTCCAGAAGCAAGTACTGTCACCCCATTAATGCCGGTAAAATGGCTTGTAAGAAACATCATTATTCCATAAAAATCAAAGGCATTGAAGTCCAGCCCAAAACGTTCCCAGAATTAAAAAGGGACTTGTAATTTACTGGGCTTTGCATCACCCAATAGGTCATGACAATTGCAAACACTACCAGCTGTCAAACTACACAGCTCATGATGTCAGTATCATGTCAAATGTGTCATACAGAAACTACCTACAGCCAAAGGCAGGACTGAACAATGGGAAGATCAGAGACCTTGCAGAGAGGCCCTACAGACAGGCCACAAGGCAGAGAAACTAATGAAGCTTCCAACAGAGCAGCACTGTCTGCAGGATAAACACCATGCTTCAAAAGCACAAGCACAAGCACGTAGAGCAGAAAGGGACAAGTATCAGATGCCCTGCTGTCAAATGGGCTGCATTCATTAATCTTCATGAAATGCTCTTTTTATTCCAAATAACAGAAAAACAGTCATACTGGTTTTGGGTTTTGGAAAGGGAAAAGAAACAACCCAAAACCAACTACTACATAAAATTAATATGGGGATTAGGCCATGCTTGTGTTTAACAGCCAAGGGTCAATATTTAAAACCGATTCACCAGAACAGTGACAACCTGTAAAGCAGTAAGACTCAGTGCATAGAAGGATTAGCCTGGTGGATTACAGACAGCATGTAAAAGCATTAAAATGTTTCATAACGATATACAAGGCTAGGATTTTTCATGCACACAACTCCACAAACATGATCCAGGAGTCAGGATGCCCAACTTGGAGAAAACTGGAGAATTTCCAGAAATAACTGGTTTCTTGGTCCATTGTTTAAATACTACAGCAAAGGAAACCTTTGAAAAAGGATAGGTTAAGACAACCGGCACCCAAACCTCTTGTGCTCGCGCACCAATCCTCCCCTCAACTTCACAACCACCATCATTCAGAATACTGCCTTCAAGAAACAGACCATTTTAAATGTGACTACTTTTCTGGCAACCACAACCCAGGCCATGTAAAACAATTCAACTATAATACCTTTAATATGAATTCATGCGTGGGATTCCCAATCCTGTCTTCTGATTCAACATTATATTCCCGAGCTAAATGCACCGTTGGTTTATAGAGCCGCCAGTGTTTCTCGCCTTCCAGCTGAAGGATAAACACCTGCAAAAGACCATCAATCCAGATGCATAAGGAGGCATTGCTGCCCCTCACACACCCAACTGATCAGGAATTCCGAGTCATCTTCTGCCTTGGAAAGTCTGTGGAACCATGCCAGAAATAAGGGATGGAAAGCAAACCAAAGTGACAGGTTGCTTTTCTGACAACAGAAGAGACAGATTTTATCTTCCCTGCTCTCAGCACCTCCACAGCACAGCAGGATTCCTTTCACATTACTTTTTAGATGTCTACAATGCAGAAATTTACATCTGAACTAATTCTTTAGGCCCTAATTAGAGGTAACAGAGTTGTGAAATGTGATCTGCTTCATCCTAAGGTATGCATTTGAAAATTCACTGTTTCTCTCCAGTCCCTTAAATAAGGGCCAGACAACTAACTCAAAAGTAATGCCTACCACACAGATACTCAAGATCTCAGGTGAGAGAGGTCTTATCACCATTCACTGACAAAGCATCAGAAACATGCTGTGAGCATCTAGGGTTGATGACATACACCAGAACATGCAGACTGTGGGGCTGCTGAACAGCAAGCATAAGGAAATCAAAACTCTAGATGTATTTAAGGGAAATTAAAATAATAAAGAGCAAAAAAATAAAGGGGGGGGGGGGGGGCGAGAAACAAATTATCTTTTCATCTAATGGAAATAGCAGGTCTGGAAAGCACAGTCCACATGACGTTACCATTAGATATACTATTTTCAGTAAAATTAGAGAAGAAAAATTACTTTAAGCCCTTGCAACCAACTACTGTTAAGTTTTCAGTGGGGAAAAAAAGCCAATCATTTTTACTGGGGGGGAGGAGGGCAAAAAAAGGACACATCCACTGCCACTAGCAAAAGCCCATGCAGAGTCTGACAGCCAGCATTGTGCTGCCCTACCTCAACATCATCGTAGTGAGGGGGAAGGCCCTGGGACCCCTGGGGAGTCATGTAAACATTGGATCCAACCAGAGACCCGAAGTAGCACTCCAGCTTCTCCTGAATCTTCCACAGCTCCTCCTTTAAAAAGAAATGATGCCGTTAATGCTGAAGAGCTCAGCCAAGCCAGGCTGCCACCCAGCCCACAGCCTCCCCATCACTGAAGAGGTTGCTCTAGAGGATGATCATACCCCTGCATGGAGACAGAGGCTGTGAAGGCAGATGCTCTGTACAAGCGTTTCTCCTGCAGTGAAGGTAATTGTAAGCCAAGAAGTTTGGTGCCCCAACATAGCATTGATGTTTGTTCTCTTCCCTGTAACACTTCTAGGTTGTGCAAATAAACAAGACTAGACAGAAGCAAATAAATCATCCTACAAACCATAGAGCATCTGAAGACAATAAATACATGCAGGACTTGCATTATATGAGCTAGCATCAAACAAAGCATACAAACGTTGGACACCTTTTTCGGTGACTCCAATTGTTTTGGGTATACATAATATTATATACATAATATATACATACAATATAGTATTTGAGAACAAATATTCATCTACATCTCACATGTGACAGACAATGCCCCAATGGGCTGACAGTCATACCAGAAAACTCCCAGACCTGCACAAGTGCAACTTCAACCAGAATTTAGGTAGGTTCAACTCAAGCTGCATAACTTCAGCGTAAGCCACGCAACATTTCAACTTCACCTGCAGCTACACTTAAACTGAGATCAGCCAGTGACACTATGCTTCAAACTCAGATGCCAGTTTGGGTCTTTATGGACCTCTTCATAATTACATTGTATTGGCACTGAGGGACAAAAAAAAAGACTACCTAAATCCAAGTACTTTACCAGTATGGAAATCCTTCACACAGCTGTGCAGATAACACTGCCTCGTTCTCATGCATGAAGACTGCAAAAGCATCAAAAAAGAACAAGAGAAGACAGCCAAAAAACGGTGGAACATTTCCATGGTACAATTCAGAGTGAGTCACTGGCAGGAATGGCAGTGTCCTGGAAACATTTTACATGGTTTCACACCTTGCCCTCCATTAAAGGAAAGCAATACAAAAGCCCCTGTTTGCACATCTAAACAGTGAGGCAGAAGTGATAATTTAAGACACAGATACATAATCAATTTTGTGCATTTCTTTTTCTAAACTTGTATGTGACAAAGCAAAAAACTGCTCTGGCACGTAAACTAAAGAATACTTAAGTTTTATAGCACAAATCAGATTTTGTTCTCACTAAAGAGCACTGAAACATGATGGGCTGTGCAAAACTACAAGTTTAAATTACTACAGTTCATTTATGGATTTCAGCAGGTCACCGCTGTCCCCCCAGATTTACTGAGGCAGAGATGAAGCTCTGTCTAGTATGACTGAAGCAAAGCATAGCACATTATAAAGCATGCATTGATTATATCCAACTAAACAAACCAACCTTAAATCTCTGAGGCTGATGAAATTGTATCGTTGCCTTTTTCTGGTCAAAATCCTTCTTCAGCTGCATGTAGTTCACTTTGCCTTCTTTATTTAAAACTTTCTTTTTTCCATTCACACATCTGCAGATATTTAGATCCCGCCCATAGTACAGACCCCGGCCACACAGTTCCTTCAGATCTGACAACTGGAACAGGGACTGGTAGTAGGCAGCCAGCAGGGGATTGTTCCTCTGAACAAGCAATGGCTTTTGCTCCCAGTACTCCCTGAAAAACACCTCTTGTTTGATGGGAGAGATCAAGCTTCCAAAGAGGCTGTCTGGGTTCTCAAAACTCATGGCTGATGGAGAACAAGCTGCTTCCACCTTTGCTCGTTTACACTGTACGGGCCCATCATTTCCCCTGTCAGCATGCCTCCCTCCTTTCTTGGGCATGTTCCTGTTGAAGAGGAGAGAGAACCAAAGCAGTCAACCAGTAACAACCTCAAGAGCTCGTGGGCCCAGAGCAGCTCCTCTTGCCTTATCCAGTGGGATAATCAGAGCAAGCTGGGAACAGCTCTGCTTTCTGATGTTCACTATGTGCTCCCAGCAGCAGAAAAAGGAAAGCTCACAACAGGCCTCCAATCCTCTCTCAAACCTCAGCAAACTCCAAAGGGCTTTATCTGGAGCCATTGCTCACAGAAGTTCAAATTCCACAACTGACATTATACTAAAGAAGATGCAATGAAACCCAACTGGCACACAACAGCTCTTTACAAATGCTGGAATCCACCTACCCCAAGAACACATGCTAGATTGGTCTTCTGTAGCAAGAGATGCAAATTGTTAAAAAGAATCAGTCAGCCTTAAGAGGATTTAATGACAACATGCAGGAGGGGATGGGATCAGAAACTTGAACCCTATTACACTTCCTTGAAATGCATTAACACTGGGGGGGGGAAAGGCAGAATGAGGACTTCCCAACAACTTTCTAGCCAGAGCACAATGGAGGAAGATATATGGCATTTCAAGTGCAAACCCAACCAGTTCAACCCAGTGGTTTGGTGTGGCATGTTCTATGCTAAGCTTTCCTGGCTTATACAGCATAAACCCAACATCCACACAGCTGCATAGTTACCAGCCTAAAGCTTTAACAGGACCTACAGGGAAGGCAGTTTCTGCAGTGAGGGGACACTGACACTGGTACAACAGCATGCACTAACACCTACACAATCCAGTGAACAGAAAACGCCACGGAAAGGGGCAGAAAGATGGAGGCCAAGTGACACAGTAGGTCACTGTGAGGGAAGGAGCAGCAAGTAACCAGGTTCAGTGGGTGTGGATGATTCAATTGGCAGGAGGGTTACAGCAGCTTCCAAAGAAACAGAAAAACTCAGAGCAAACTCCCTGCAGGTGAAGCAGGCTTTAAGAACATGAAGTAAAGGCACTTGCTTGAGGTCTCAGGCCCTGGGAACAATTTTAGTGCCAGGCATCTAGCCATGCTCACCACACAGTGGCAGTGCCCCACACCTCAGGCTCTGAAGCAGTCTCCATACTCTATCCTGAATGACCATGCTTAGCAAAACTAAGTTTGCAGAAGAGAGGGGACATCGTTAGGCCTTTCTGTTGATGCTACGCAATTACACCAAAAACTAAAATCATATCGATTCTGCTTTCATTTCTGCCAAGCTGTCAAATTTTATGGCTTATGTAGCATAAAAATAATTTTAAAGTTGGAAGCAATTAAATTTCTTTTCCCGGGTACACAATAGGCTTGGTCTATCATGTAGAAATAAAAAAGTTAATTCACAAAGGGTTTAGCTGCCAAGTTCTCCAGAAAGTTAAGGTACAACTCAAGTAACAGTCGGGCCAACACCATAATATGTGCAGACATACTTGCCATAACTTTAAGTACGCACCAGCATTTCATCCCCCAGAGTGGCCCAGAACACCAGGCAGCAGTAAAAGCCTGCCTGAGAAACCGAATTAAGTATCCTGACAATGAGCCAGCACCAAGTCCCCTAGCACAGCAGCTTGCCTGCCAGGGCTGGGCTGGCCAACTCAAACTGACTCTGGGCATGTTTCAGCAAGTCTGTGAAGCCATCACAAGGAGTTACAGTATGCTGATGCCTTCATTTTGAACTAAGAAAAAGAAAAATAATCTCAGCTTTACTCCCAAAAATAAATGCTCTCATTTATTAAGATGCTTTTACTTACACAGATCCCTTATTATGAAACTTATAGTCCAGTTCTGGTATTTACACACGGTACTGTTTCTCCTGCACAGCACTGTGCAGGTCCCTCACTGATCCACTAACTCTTGGCCACCATTTTATCAGTAGTTCCTGTAACACCCTGTACCTCAACAGTAACCTGCAGTCTCCTTCATCCTGCAGGAGGGAATCCACATCACCACCTTCCTAATAGAAGGCACATTCCTGGCTGCAACAAGCTACAGTTTTCTATGAGGCAAGAAAATGCTTAAGAAAGAAACAAAAAGTCTGAAAATGAGTCCCCAGTTGCCAGCAACACCTGAAGATGCTGCTGACACCAAGATCTACAACTGATATCCCCAAATGCCAGCAACACAAATGCAACCAACCCCGCATTGCCGGTTTTGAATTCCAGACCTAAATTCTTCATATATGGCATCCTCTCAGCTCACTCACATTGTGTTTAACAAGGACAAATTCAGATATGAACTATTTACAGAATGCAGCTTCACTTACACAATGTGCTGTTCCGTTGTGTTTTGTTAGTTTTAACAACTGTAGAACTACAGAATGGTTTGGGTTAGCAGAGATCATGTAGTCCACCCCCTCCCACGGGCAGTGATAGCTTCCACTAAAGCAGGTTGCTCCAAGCCCCAACCAACCTGGCCTTGAACACTGCCAGGGCTGGGGCAGCCACAACTTCCCTGGGCATCCTGTGCCAGTGCCTCAGCACCCTCAGCAGGAGAAAAGAATTATTCTTGTATCTAACCTTAATCTACCTTCTCTCAGTTTAAAACCGCTCCCCCCTGCCCTGGTAGAAAGTCCGTCTCCAGATTTCTTCTCATATTTAACTACTGAAGGGCTGCAATAAGGTCTCCCTGAAGCCTTCTCTTCTCCAGGCTGAACCAGCCCAACTCCCTCAGCCAGTCTTCACAGCAGGGGTGCTGCAGCCCCCAGTCATCTCTGCGACCCTCCTCCGGACTTGTGCAAACAGGTCCGTGTCCCTCTTAGATCCCAGAGCAGAACGCAGTGCTACAGGTGTGGTTTTGCCAGAGTAGAGGAGGAGAATCACCTCCCTCAGCTTACGGGTCACACTCCTTTTGATGGGGCCCAGCATACAGCTGGCTTCCTGAGCTGTAAATGCACACAGGGACTCATGTCCAGTTTTTTATCTACCAGTACCTTCAAGTCCTTCCCTGCGGGCCTAGAACAAAAACACACCAACAGAACGGACCTGCTCCCCACCGGAGTTATTTCACATCAACGTTTTCATGCACACCACATGCACCCATTCACGACCTCAGGCCTCGGAAGTGGCCTAGCAGCGGCGGGGCTCTCAGCTCCCTCAGACGTGATGGATGGGGAGCAGGATGGCCACAAGGACCCGGCGGCCAACTTTTCCATAAGGGAACACCGCATTAACCCGTGTTCGGAGGAGCAGCCTGCGCTCCTCGCCCCCAGCCAGCCTCACGGCCACGCTGCCTGCAGCCGCGCACACGGTGTCGGTGCCTCAGCCGCCGTAACCCCTTCAGAGCCCCGCCGTGTCAGCCGCAGCGCGCCCCGCACCACGGACGCTTCCCCCCCGCGACCCAGCGCGGTACCGGGGCTACCGGAGCCATCAGCCCCCCCTTTACCACGGCAGACCCGCCCCGCGGAGGCACTCACCCAGCCGGAGGAAATGGCGGCGGAAGCGTCACGGAGGGAAGTGTTTCCGGGTGCCGGCGGGAGCCCCTGCCCGCGGGTCCGGTTGAGAGCTGGCGGCGGGGGGGGCTTCTCGAACAGCTCCGGCCTCTTTCCGAGCGCCTCGGCGGTCTCTGGCTCCGCTGTGGAAGGGGTTCCGCGCCGCTGGCCGCTGCGGCGGGGGAAGCGCGGTGTCCCGCGGTGCTGAGGTAGCGGGAAGCGGCGGCTCGGAGGACGCGGAGCAGGAACGGTGCTCGGCGGTAACGGGGGCCCGTGTTCCGCGGCGTTTAACCTCGCGGAGTGGCGACATGGCGATGCTATCGATCCCAGCCGGTGAAGTCTTAAAGCAGTCGCCACCTGAAAACAATCAGTGCGAGAAGCTTTTCTTCTTCGTCTGCCCGTTATGTGCGAGAGAGAAAAGTACTCCTTTATTTCCCAGTATTGCACACCCGTATCTCCACTGAAGTTGGAGATAACACGGATTAGATGGGGTATACCACATAAAACCTTGTGGTTATTTGTATAACGTTTGACTTCACGCACACAAAAGTGCCTGGTTTTTAGCTGCATTACTGTTTCCTGGACCAAAATCTTGTTCCAGACCTCGTCTGAGGCTCCTCAAAGAAATCTTTGGAATCCTCACTGAGCAGATGGAAACCTCTAGAAAGATCCTTAGTTACCTTCATTAAAGATGTCTCTCAGCTGTTGGATTTACATGGGCTGAAAGACATCAGGAAAATTGTTAGGTAGGATTTGCTAAAGGTTTGATCTGGTGTACTGACAACTTGAAGCATGCAAAGCAGAAAGACAGCATACAGAATGCACCAGGAAAAGGTGCATTTTGGAAACCGCGGCAACCTTACATTGCACTGCTAATGTAAGTACAAAGTTAGATGGGGCATAAATTAGTTACTAGAATGACCTTCCAATGACAGGTAAAAGAGGGGACTGTGCTCTGTCAGCTCCTTATGGAAGGAAATAATCATAGAATAATTAGGCTTGGAACGGACCTTAAGATCATCCAGTTCCAACCCCCCTGCCAAGGGCAGGGACACCTCACTCTAAACCATGGCACCCAAGGCTCTGTCCAGCCTGGCCTTGAACACTGCCAGGGATGGAGCATTCACAACTCCCCTGGGCAACCCATTCCAGTGCCTCACCACCCTTACAGTAAAGAATTTCCTCCTTATATCCAATCTAAACTTCCCCTGTTTAAGTTTTAACCCGTTACCCCTTGTCCTGTCACTACAGTCCCTAATGAAGAGTCCCTCCCCAGCATCCTTGTAGGCCTCCTTCAGATACTGGAAGCTGCTCTGAGGTCTCCACGCAGCCTGCTCTTCTCCAGGCTGAACAGCCCCAACTTTCTCAGCCTGTCTTCATACAGGAGGTGCTCCAGCCCTGATCATCCTCATGGCCTCCTCTGGACTTGTTCCAACAGTTCCATGTCCTTTTTAATAAACTCATAATATATATAAATACATAAATATATAAGATAATGGAGCCTTTCACATTTAAAATACCCGTTCAAATTCCTCCCTTTATGGGAAATGGGCTCCTCCTTGCGGTGTAGTTGTTACTCGCACAGCAGTCACTCCTGTTTTCTGGCACTAGGTGGAACTTTCGGAACAAACGAAACGTGAGTCCAGCGAGTTCCGCGTTCATGGATGCAGGAAGCAAGCTCCCACGTGCTGAATACAGAGACCGGCAGAATGCAATGAACGGGAAAAGGGGATGGAAGAAATGAGAAAGGAAACACTGCGCATCCTGTTCAGACCTTGTTCGTCTACCACCTGGACCACTATGGTCACCAGCTGAAGTACAGGTTAATCAGCATGTGGGTGGGTTACCAGGGGAGAGGTTTTGCCAGTCTAAAGTCATCCTAATTGCACAAATGTGCACAAATTAGTAAGCTTTCTAGATAAAATATTTTTCTTTCATTGAGCTGTGACTTCCAAAGAAAAAGAAGACATTCCCTACTTTATAGTACTGGCTTAGTTCAACACAAAAATATTCAACATTTAAGAGACTGCAAAATGTATTAAATTGTGACTATTTTATGTAAAGACTCTGCAACAGTTGGGATATTCAAAGGTATACCTTTGTGTAGCTCTCTGAAAAATAGGTTGCTGGCATGAAATTCTGCTTACTTCTTCCTTTATTACTTTACTACTTAAAGCTTTGAAGAATAAAGTAGTCCTCCAGACTTAGAAGTTTGCCTCACCTACATCAAGACTTACAGGATGTTTTCTTACTACAGATGGGTGTAGCAGCAGATGCTAAAAATAGGGAGACCACATCCTGCACCTCAGTTGGTCACAGAAACCATTACAAGCTCTTATTTCTGTTCCAAGAATCCACACAGTATTATCAGCATAACTGCTTGAACACCACTAGGATGAATAGTCAAACAAGTGTATATTTATGTAATGTCCATGATGGTTTAGCTGTTAGTAAATGCTCTGCGATGTAAAGTCTGTACTTTTGAGTGGCTGCAAAACCAGCCACAAGTAATAGGAATGGAAAACACACTTCCGTGCTGGCTTGTGTAGACAAGTTGACTAGAAGTATTTATTACCATCCTTTTCTAGAAGATAGTACAAGGCTCAGACAAGGGTCATATGATTTTTTGTCAGCCCTCCTGCACCCTCTAAACAAGAAATAATGTAAATACCGTTTGCTATTTTTCACTATTTATACAAGCAATAGATTTTTTGAAGTATAACTGATCTTGATATCATCCCTGTCACTGCATTAAGAAGATAAAAATGATAAGCCTCGCTGTAAAAGCATGCAGTTAAGTTTCATCATCATGATGTGCAATCTTATAACT